TGTAAAATACATGAAATTACTCACACTGGGGAGAAACCATATGTATGTAAGGTATGTGGAAAAGCTTTCAGTACACACCTTTATTGTGAAAGACATAAACGAACTCACACTGGGGAGAAACCCTATGTATGCAAGCAGTGTGGGAAAGCTTTTATCAGGCACAGCGAATGTAAAATACATGAAAGAACTCACACTGGAGAGAAACCATATCTTTGTAAGCAGTGCAGGAAAGCTTTCAGCACAAAGTATTATTGTAAAGTGCATGAAAGAATTCACACTGGGGAGAAACCATATATATGTAAGCAATGTGGGAAAGCATTCAGTACACAGAGTTATTGTCAAATTCATGAAAGAACTCACAGTAAGGAGAAACCCTATGTATGTTAGCAAGGTGGGAAAGCTTTAGGCACACACAGGAATTGTCAAATACATCAAGTCTCAGTGGGGAGGAGACCTGTAGAGAAAACTAATGTGTAATTAATATGTAATGATAATTAATATGTAATGTTTGTTGTCAATATTTCTTCATATGTTTTTCAGGAAATACAATTCCAGATGGAGATAAACTATAGTACATAATATGTTTTTCAGTAAATTACTTATAAATATCAGGATTATGTACCTGTGGTATTTAATGTAAAAATAGTGAGTTTACATAATTATGTATTTTTGTGTCCATGTCTTTGAACTTAATACGTAGTGTCTTTTAATTAAGTATGGTAAATTGAAATGTGCTTTTTAACTTTCAAGTATAGTTGGTGTTTAAGTAGTTTTGGCTTTGTTTTTAAAATTAGGAGGCATGGACCACTAAAAAAATTAATTTCCTTAATTGTGGAGATTTTGCCACTACAATTTATTTTAAGGATTTGATGCATATACTTCATATTCTGTGTAACAAAAGACTTTTTAGTTTGATGGTATATTTTATATTAAGATAGATTTTCCAAGACTTGTGAACATGTGTTTTTAACAAAGTTGATTTCTTTTCCCCAACTTGCACTTTAGCAAATGTTGTTTTTTATATACTGATAAGCTACCTCCTTGTTATGACCTAATTTTGCCTATTTTCCTTTCATTTTGGGGCCAGTATTAGCATTTACATAAAATTTTGTTTTCTTATGGAATTCTACTTTTCATGTTTAGGCAACTGGATTTATTGTATTCCCTGCTGCTGTGATGTCAATTTTTGATAATTATTATCATTTATACCTAGTAAGCTGACCTAATTGCATGAAGGAGAGCATAATTTGTGAGAGGTGTCATTGTGCTTATTAAAAACTGAAATTTACTATTATAATTCAGATTTTGTTCTGCTTTCTCAATTTTTGAGATAGATTTATACAGTACCACTTCTCATTGTTCATAAGGACCGCTGTCTCATGTTTGAGGTAAGTAACAACTGCCTTCAAACACATACAGTGGACCAAAGTGTGTGCATGAGTCCTGGTTGGTCTCCTTTTACCTGTGTTTTTACAATCATGTTTACATTAAAATATTTTATAAAATGTGTTATACAGTGAGCTTGAATACAAAAACTGCTCAATTTCTGATGGGAATGCATTATTACAAACATATGGTTATCATGAAAATGTAAGTGAGCAATTCATTAAATACCTATAATACAGTGGACATTATATTTTATCCTAGCCTTAATTATGCTTAGACACATAAATTACTCACCAGTTGTGGGATTACAGGCATGTGCCATCATGCCCAGTTCTCTTTTTTTTAAGAGTAGGAAAATTTATTAGAGAAAAGGAATGGGGAATAGGAATAGCATGTGAGAGACAGCAGGCCTCCCAAATGGGTTGCCAATGAGCTACCTCTCAAAAGAAATTTTATAGAGCAAAATCCTCAGGTGGGTGCAGTGGGGGTCAACATCATGATCAATAAGATTGCAAGTACAGTCACTTAGGCAATATTGATCTAAATGGTGGCAAGGGTACATGGGTGACATCATTAAACTTGGTCAGCAATGTATAGTCTTAATCTTGCCTTTAGTCTTAGTAGTTTTAGTCTTAGTTATAGTGGTCTTAGTCTTAGTAGCGTGAGATGGCCCACCCATAACGAGGTAATGGGAAATCTCAGAAGGGCAATACCAGTAATCCTAAGCCTCTGTTCATCTGTTAGGGAAGTATATAGAACTATCCATTGTGCCTTTAATCTTTAGATGCCCCTCCAGCCAAGTCCTGACCCATTCTCATCTTCTGCACTGACTCCCTCAAGGGCCTAGCTCTGTGTGCCTACTGTATTTCTACCTAACTTAGCTGTCTATTATATTCCCCTCTCTGAAGAGGTA